ATTGCGCATTTCACCCCTATCGCCCAGTACCATGGGCAGCTTTCTCAGAGTTGACGGGACGAAGATCGTCAAAGGCGATGGCGAGGAGATCATCCTGAGAGGGGCTGGTCTTGGGGGTTGGATGACGTGAGTTGTATGTGAATTCTTGTCTGTATGCATGATGATTAATGAGCATCAGCATGGAGAACTTCATTACAGGCGCGTTTGCTATGCATAGGCCCGGCCCAAACTCGAATGAACCTTGATGTCGCGCTCTGTGCAGGCTATCCCGGATGCGAATTCCAAATCCGGGACGCGCTTGCCCAAGTACTGGGAACGCAAAAGGCAGAATTCTTCTTTGACAAGGTAACGCATACACTCACGGGATATCTTGTATATTCACCCGACACGCCAACAGTTCCTCGAATATTTCTTTACCGAGCAAGACGCAATCTTCTTCAAGTCGCTAGGGCTGAACTGTATCCGCATAGCCATATCCTATAGACACTTCGAGGACGACCTAAACCCCCGCGTACTCAAACCATCCGGCTTCAAGCATCTGGATCGCGTCGTGTCCCTCTGTGCCGCGCAGGGGATCTACACCATCCTCGATATGCATACGGCTCCTGGCGGACAGAACGGCGGATGGCATTGCGACAGTGGCGTCCACATCGCCAATTTCTGGTTGCACAGAGACTTCCAAGACAGGTTGGTTTGGCTCTGGACGGAGATCGCGAAACACTATAAAAATGAGAGATGGATAGCGGGGTATAATCCCATGAACGAACCTGCAGATCCGAAACACACGGGATTGATCGCATACTACGACCGTGTTCATGCTGCAATACGCGCTGTTGATCCGCACCACATCTTGTTCTTCGACGGGAATACTTACGCGACAGATTTCTCCGCCTTCCCCAACGACGCTGCGACTCGTTGGCCCAACTCCGCCTACGCCATCCACGATTACTCCTTGTACGGATTCCCGAAATCGCCGGAGCCGTACACACGTACGGAGGAGCAGCGACGGAGAATGAAGCGCAGCTATGAAAAGAAAAGACAGTGGATGGACGAGCGAGGTTTATGCGTCTGGAATGGAGAATGGGGTCCCGTGTACGCCAGAAAGGAGTATGATGGCGACGCGACGGACGAGATCAATCAGAAAAGATACGATGTCCTGAAGGATCAGTTGGAGCTATACCACAAGGTCAGTGTCATACCATATGTAAGAAACCCCAGAACGTCTCTCATCCAATGCCAGGATCACCTGAGCTGGTCGATATGGCTCTACAAAGACATCGGGTTCCAAGGCATGGTACACGTATCGCGCGAAACCCCATACATCAAGCTCCTCGCGTCATTCTTGGAAAAGAAGCACCGTCTCGCAGTCGATGCATGGGGCGCGGACGATAAATCAGTCAGGCACGTATTTGACCCTCTCGTTGCTCTCATCGAAGAAAACATACCAAATGACGAGTATAAACGTCTATACCCTTACCCTGTGTGGACGGTCGAGGGACGCGTTACTCGTCTGAGCAGGACAATGCTCATTGCAGAGTTTATGGTCATGGAATGGGCGGATCATTTCAAGGGATTAGACGAGAAGCAATTGGACGAGCTCGCTCAGAGTTTCAAGTTTGAGAACTGCTTGAAGAGGGAAGGACTGAATGAGGTGTTGAGGGAGCACGCGAAGGAAACCGCCACGACTCATTAGAAATACTACAGTGGTGTACAGTACAAACTACAAGACGTCAGCCATTGTGATCGAGACATTCAGAAACACTCACTATATGCGTTATTGGCGCTGTGCAAATTTGTCCCTAGCTTTTTGGTTACGCCGTACATTCTCCTCACGAAGTTTACTTTCCAACGCAGTGTACAGTTGACGGGCGTATTTTTCCGCATCCTAGAAGAGGGGTAAATTGCGAGCTTCACTTGGCGATAGCATGTACACATACCCCGATAAGTTGCTGTATTTGCGTAAACTGCAACTCGCCGGATCCGATGGTTCTGATAGCTTGCACACGCGAGGATGTCGAGGGTGGGAACGAGAAGGCTACAAGGAATTTGGACGGTACTGAAGCTTCTTCGACTGAAGTGGCATCGAGGAAGTGTACGTTTTCGTGCTACATGAGCCATGAGAGTTAACTATGAATAGGTACGTCATCTGCACAAATACATACCACATTGAGTGTTATGCATACAGGCCACCTATCTTGGCCATCCAAAGGTTCACCCTCATCCCAGTAATCCGGAAGCTCGAAATCGGTCGCGGAGGGTAGTCGTTTGGTGGAAAACCCGCTAGAGTCTACGCCCTGTCCTTCCACGTCCATCTGCTCGTTCTCTGTATTCTGGGGTTCGGTTGTATTCCTCGCTTTGTATTGTACTGGGCGGGTCACGGGAACTTTGGTATCCCAAAGGGCTGCTCGCGCCGCCATAAACATAGCATCGTATGCATTCCCGGCATCAGACAGAATCACTACGTCCAAGTTGAGCAGCCAGGACTTTCGTTTTGGGATGATACCGAGGTTCTTTGGATGCAGAGAGGGGTGCGAAAGCGTTTGGTGCAAAACAGTGGTATAGTCATATTGCAGGTCGTCGAGGGCGTTTGATTGTAGTTGAGGATATGCAGCTGGTGAACTTTTCTTTGCACAGTTGAGGAACCTTTTCACGTATCTCAATCTATCTCAAAGCGACATACCATGTTACAGTACAAACGATCCGTCCCCCGTCGACGCCATCGCCGGTTTGAACATCTTCTACCTCCAACTTAGTAGCAGCGAGCACCTCTGTACCTCCACCGCCCTCATCTGCGCTTTTGCCAATGTTGAGTCGCGCGCTGCCGTTTGCTAAGGGCGCGACACCAGTCTCGAGTAGAATCGTTCGGAAATCATATAAAGAGCGACCATCTGCTCGTAGCGGCGGTGTTGCTTTTAGAGACGACTGAATATACGCCTTTTCGGATTTTGATATAGTTGGGAACGATGCCATGGCAGTGATCAAGCTTCAAGGGACAGGACAGACCGCAGACTCTGCTCACTCTCGCCATCGGACTCTCCTGTTTTGGTAGCACGTGACAGCATCCAGATCAGATCGGGCGTGTTCTCTTCAACGACGCGCTTTTGACTCGCGGTTTGCGCTCTTGCCTTCAATTCCTCGATGAACTAGACATCGTAGCCCTTATCTCCACCGACTTCCCTTTCTGTATTATAACTCTCTACGACGGGGGAGAATACCATTTCGTTCTGCCCAAAGAAACAACCGATGTTGATATGTTTGTCCTGTCTATAATCAAAGTACGCAAGTCTACCCCTCACATCGACCCAGTAACTCAACTCGAAAAGGATACAGTTGCAGTGCATCCACAGCACTTTGGCCTGCCTCCCTCTCAGGCCATCATCAATGAACTGAACAAAAAATACGCTAATAGGGTCCTCCACGAGGTCGGGCTCTGTATCTGCGTATTCGATATTTCTGAAGCTGGAGAGGGAAAGGTACGGTACGGAGATGGATTCTTATGGTACAAAGGTTTGTCATTACACAGCAGTATGTGCCTAGCATCTGACATCCGCTGCAGTCGTATTTAGACTTGTGGTTTTCCGACCGTTCTCCTCGGAGGTTATTCTAGCAAAAGTGAAATCTTCAGATGAAGACGGTATCAGACGTGCGTTTTTTCGAACGAACCAGTCACTACCCTTCCACCTCACCTCCCCTTTAGTAAGCGTCGGGTTCTTCGATGACATCTACATCCCCAAAATGTGGCTACCAGAGCCATCGGCATTGTGAGGAAACCTCCCAAATATCTATTCCGCTTCTCACACAATTTTACAACATAGCGATCCGAACGAGCGGGCATTCTTTTGGCTCGCGAACGCTGCGGGGGAGAGCAAAACGACGCACGAACTCCTGGACTCTCCCACCGCCGAGAGAATGTATATTGACACAGGGGAAGTTGTGAGAGTGCGTGTAGAAGCTGACGAATTCTACGATGACGAGCCCGGACCACCAAAAGCGACTGAAGGCGTACAGCAAGTCCAGGTTGAACACCGAAGACCTCCTTATACCATCACCGTATGTTTAATATTTGAGCAAACCCGCAAGCCGCGATACTAATTCTTGTTCTAGTGCTCCATCGCTGAACAAGGTCTTGGCCCTGTGATCTGGTGGTCGCAAGCCTCTGTTGAGAGCATGGATGAAGGCTAGCACAATCTCTCTGTAACAGATGCCCTCTTACCACAGCGATTCGTCTCTGGAATAATAAGTGGGTGAACACCTGGTTCGCACGTCGATCTTTTCTCTCTATAAACGTCCGTCGTGGTACCGGTAAGTGGTACACCATCGTCCAGTTAATCCCGTTCTGGTGAGTCCCGATGGTCACCTCAATGGTGAGCGTGCCTACCTCATGTGTCGGTGCGCGACGACGCGACGCGCCCCAGCATATATGAGCCTCGACTCCCCTCGCCCGTCGACGCATTTC